GGCTGTCTTGCCTTTTTTCTTAGAGAGTCTGTCTGTATGAGAAATATACAAAAAGTTTCTTGGGTGGTTTTGCTACTTAAAGCTGTGGTTAATAGCCAAAGTTTCTCCAAACTGTGTCCTTAGAAAATATATATACTTATACATACATGCTCTTTTCTGCAATATATATCTTCTCAGTCACAGTAGACTTCAGTGAAGCAACCAGCTACTTCAATATCTGTTTATTCATGCTGTGAAGACATCTCAGAATGAAAAAAAAAAAAGATACAGATTAGTTCTATAGCATTTACTGTTTTCTATCAATTTCTTTGTAGTCTTCCTTTCAGTTTAGAGTCAAAGACTAGAATCTTTCCTCAAGGTAACCGAGTAACAAATAGGGGTCCATCACTTAGTTGCATTTTCTGTAACAATAGTTTAGCAACAACAGAAAACCAAATCTACCGCCATTAAATTTATTCTGATTCATAGCATTTCTGAGGCTGTGAATCTTTATGGGAACATATTTCTCTCACCCAGTAGCTGGTGGGTTTGAATGGAGGCCCTTTTGATTAGTAGTCCAACAAAAGAGCTCCAAACTCCAATTTTGCAGCTAAATTAAGGTTTGAAAAGAAAGAAAAAGAAAAAAAAGTAAACTAACAAGAACAACCAAAAACCTGTGTGCCTACAACCCAGGGTTCAAATGGGACTGTTTCAAGTGCTTTCACTTATGTAGCTTCTTCCCTAACCAGCTCCACTCCAATCCTCTGTGGCTTCGAGACTTTTATTTTCCAAGTTGGCTCCTATTCTGGAGCCTCTCAGCAACTCCTTTGCTGCCAACATCAGCATTGTCATTAGCATTTCAGAAAAACAAAACAAAACCCCCAAACAAAATGGTTTTGTCTGGGGTTACTCCAAAGGAAGGCATCTTGGTTTTCTCAGTGAAATCTTCTCTGTTGCTAATTTATGAGTTTTAGAGAAGCAAAATGAGCTTTCATTCAGTGGAACAGTCTGCTGACTCCCTATCCTGCTTGCTAATGGCGACCAACATGGAAAGACTGGGTGTGGGGTGTGATCAAGGAAGCCCTAAGAAGCCCGTGTTCTTCCATTATCCTTCTCCCGCTTCTCCAGGACAGCTTGGGGTTACTTTCACTCACGTTTTGGAGATCGTTTTTTATCTGCTAATAATATTGCTATTTTTTTCAGAGACCTTTGTCTTTTGTAGTCAAAGGTGGGCATAATTATAACATATTCTCTGCAAAGTTCTTAGAAAATATGAGTTTAATTTTTAATTTTTATTGTTTAATCATAACAGTTTTAATGCTTTTTGTCAAATGTTATTTAATATTTTTCATTAATATTGAAAGACTTTTTCTTATAATCGAGTTTCGTGTACCTCTTTGACTTAGTTTTATTGAAGCACAGTTTTACTGTTGTAACTGTCATCCAGATTTAGAATTCCTAGACACTTAGATATGACATATAAAGCCATATATTGTATATCATACTGCTTGACCTAGCAGTTCATATGAATAAAGACTCTCGGGCCTTTTGACACCTGGTACAAACCTATAATTTCCCAATTTATTTTGGGTAGACAGGGGTCTGTGGTTAATGCAGGATTCTCTTGTGCAGTCATAAAGTTAAGGAATAAGATAATTTATACAAGGTGGTATGTACCATAAGGAAGTTTTTTTGGTTTTGTTTATAATAAATTACTTTATTGGGGGCTCTTACAGCTCTTATAACAATTCATACATCAATTGTATCAAGCACATTTGTACATATGTTGCCCTCCTCATTTTCAAAACATTTTCTTTCTACTTGAGCCCTTGGTATTAGCTCTTCTTTTTTCCCTCCCTACTTCACCCTTCCACCCGCGTGACTCCTTGATAAATTATAAATTATTATTATTTTCATATCTTATATCATCCCCTGTCTTCCTTCACCCACGTTTCTCTTGTTCATCCCCCTGGAGGGGTGTGTGTGGTTATACATCCATCATTTCTATCAGTTCCCCTTTCTCTCACTTCTCCCCCTACCTTCCCCCTACCCTCATGGTATTATCTGTCCTGGATTTCATGTGTCAGGAGCTCTTATCTGTACCAGTGTACATGCTCTAGTCTAGCTGGATTTGTAAGGCAGAACTGGGGTCATGATAGTGGAGCGGGAGGAAGCATAAAGAACTAGAGGAACATTGTGTGTTTCATAGGTGCTATACTGCACCCTGAATCGCTTGTCCCTTTCTTGTGACCCTTCTGTGATGGGCTTTGGGTCTCTACTCCGACCTCCCTCGTTTGCATCAATATGATATGATTGTTTGTTTTGGATCTTCTGATGCCTGATCCCTGATCCCATCATTGATACTTTATGATCACACAGGCTGGTGTGGTTTTGTGGTTCAATGTGTTCAATGTGGTTTTGTTGCTTCCCAGCTAGATGGCCGCTTGTTTAACTTCAAGCCTTTAAGACCCCGACATTATGTCTTTTATTGACTGGTAGCCATCCGCTTTCTTCACCACATTGCTTATGCACCCATTTTGTCTTCTGAGATTGTGTCTGGATGGGGGGGAGTATCATAGAATGCCAGGTTAATAGAACAAAGTGTTTTTGCATTGAGCTAGGACTTGAGTAGAGGCCTAATGTCCATCTGCTACCGTGATACTTAATATATAAACATCTGTACATAGGCCTATATCCCTATCGTCATATATAAATATATTTACATCTATACATTCCTATATTTATACTTCTATAAATATCCTTTGCCTCCTAGTTCTTTCCCTATTTCCATTAGGAAGTTTTACAAGCAGTGTTTTCTGAGGGACTTCAGAAGAAATTACAATCTATTAGTGAGAGATTTTTCCATGGATCATCTCCCTTGAGATATGAGAAGTTGCATTGTAACTAGGAATGAAGTTCTGGAACTGCTTCAGCTTGCTGTTTTTTTTCCCACTAATTCCACAGTAGATATATTCCCTTCTTGTTACTGACTTGGAGAATGTAGCCTTGAAAGTTGTATGCTCTTTTTTTGCATTTAGCTTTGATCAGCACAAATTTTGTGTTTAACACTTTGACATGGCACTACTATTCCATCTCCACCCAAAAACTTGAAAATCATAGTCAGAATGTTAATGAAGAGCAAAAAAAAAGAAAAGAAACAATGATATCTTTCTTTTTTCCTTTCTCTGATTTTGGCATTTCCCTAATTTCCAAAGTTTTCTCTTTTTTTTTAGTTTTGTGTACTGTTAAAGTATAAGAGCTTATTTAGTTTTGACCACTGCCTATAGCTGTTTAACTTTACCAATATATCTTAATTAGTGTAAGACTTAATAGAGTCTGCTAAGAACTAGAGTTCATCCATGTTTACCTCTGAGCTCACCCTATAAAGTTCTGCCCCTAGGCTGACCCTATAAAAAGTTCTGCACAAAGGGTGGAGTAGAAAGGGGGAACCGATTACAAGGATCTACATATAACCTCCTCCCTGGGGGACGAACAACACAATAGTGGGTGAAGGGAGACGTTGGTCAGTGTAAGATACGACAAAATAATAATTTATAAATTATCAAGGGTTCATTAGGGAGGGGTAAAATGAGGAGCTGATGCCAGGGTAGCTTAAGTGGAGAGCAAATGTTTTGCGAATGATGAGGGCAATGAATGTACAAATGTGCTTTACACAATTGATGTATTATGGATTGTGATAAGAGTTGTATGTACCCTTAATAAAATGATTTTTTTTAAAAGTTCTGCACAAACAGCAAAGAATGTGCCTTTGTCAGAGACCAGAGAACCAAGGACAGTGATGACCAAGAAGGAATCAGTACCATGACTGCTGATGACTAAAAATGACTACCTGGAGCTCTCCTGACACCAATCGATCCAGAAGACCTTAACCTGTATGTTTTACCCAGAGGGGCCAAGCCCATTTCTGTACAGTATAAATGGTTACTAGTCTCCGAGCTCAGGGCTGATGCATGCTATAGCCTCAGTCTGAGTTGATACACTGTTCTACTATAGCCCATCTGCACCCAGGTGAGAAATAAACTTTGCTGTTTGCACCATACCTGGCCTGGTGACAGAATTGAGTCTCTTTTCTCAACCTTACATTTATTTATTTATTTGGTAAATTCATGCATAGTCTCTCAACCTGTTTGGCTAGGAGTCTGCTGTTGAGTTTTGTTTTTTTAAATCACTATGCTTATAAAATAACTAAAATTGTTTTGCAATTGGGAGAAATACATAAAAGGGCATGTGTTGGACTTCTGGGGACTTTGTGCACTGCCTGCAAATGCAGTCTGGCCTGAGGGATCACTTGTTTGGAGGTGGGCTGGCCTTGCTGCTTTTTCCTTTGTGATACAGCTTGGCTTTTCCCTGAGAGGGTGGTGGAACTCTTTCTCGCTGTCCTTGAGACTGAGAACCTTCGTGATCCCAAGCATTTTAAAATTGTCTAGGTTCCAGCAATTCAGTTTACAGAATTATTTCCTTTAATAGTGTGACTGTAATTTAAGACAGTTGAAAGGGTTTGCCTATTAAAATTATTTGATTTAGTCTCCTTCCAGGCTGGAATTCTGAATTAAATATTCAAGCAATGTCATTGTTTTGGTTATCTCCAAAGCCTTGCAAAAGTGCCTTTTAGAGGGCTGGCCCTTCTTTGGAAAGGAGCTGCCACCCAGCAAAACTTATTGTTACACTGCTGACCTCTGTGATCAGGAATGCCTCTGGAGGAAACAACCTTATAATTGTTTTTCTTCAACCTCCAGTCTAGTTTTTGTAAGTGTACTTTGTTTTCATTTAATTGGAGGCTCCATCTTTGTAGCTTTATTATGAATTGTCAGTACAGAATTCCTGGCAGGTAGTAAAAAGAATTGCCCTGCTCCCTGATATATCCTGTTCGGCGGGAAGCCTTTGTGGTTTAGATTCACAGTTTCCCATTGTTGCTAGCTGCCTGTCTCCTCCCTCTGTGTCCTTCCCTCCCCACAGCTCTAGCTCGGCCGGGGTCCCTCCCCATTTCTCTATCACTTGCCGTGCCATGCCCTTTCTTGTGATTGCTTGAGGTCTTTTGGGGGAGGTGAAGTGTATTCTCCTGTAAGTATTATGCTTGTGTTAAAACTGCGTGGTGGAAGGATGTTGTCGTTGTGAAGTATTTCTTATAACTTTGGAGGTTTAAACTTTGAAATTGAGGTTGTAAGATTTTCTTCATTTTCAGGAGGCTGCTGACTGCCTGTTGTTTCTACTTATGTTTTCTCTTTCAATTATTAAGATTTGGAAATTTGATTTTCACCACAGGCTTGAAAAGCCATTCTCTTAGAGTTGTTTGTTTGTTTGTTTTCAGCTTTAGAAATAAAAGTCAGGATTGTGATTTACTGTTTTAAATGTCCTTTAAATAGATGATTACTTGTGATTAAAAAAAACTCCTTATATGCTAGTATTAACATACTAGCAAAAACAATAACGAAGAAAAGAGCCTATTTTATGACTAAATTGAAATATAACATTTACTCCCATAGTTACAGTATTCTCTTTTTCCTATTAGCAGAATAATGTTGGCAAAATTCACTAGAATTTGACAAAATGTGAGTCTGGGGATATTGTTTGCTGAATACTCCAGGATAACAAATGCTTCTGGGAATTGTTTTTTGGGAAGTTAGATAGACTTGTTCATTAGCACCTGGTCCCTAATTCTTTTGAAAGAAAAAGATATAGTTGATGTTCAAATTAAGGCAAGTATTACTTTCATAATTTGCTTTGTATTTCTTTGATTCTCACCTTATATATGTTTGGAGTGTGTGTGTGTGTGTGTGTGTGTGTGTGTGTGTGTGTGTGTTTGGATACCGGATATATAACACCATTTTTTCATGTAGTCATAAGTATCCCAAGCAGTATTGTTAATTAAAAGGTTTGTTGTTGTTGTTTTTTAATGGTGGTAATGTTAGGGGAAACTTGTTTTGGAATTTTATTGCTGTTCAATTGAATCACTTATTCAAATGACAGTTGCACTTATGTAATGACTTCCTGAGCTCCTACTATGTGATAGGTGCTGGGTGCTTTGGTCAGGGCTCTATTCACTACTTATTTCCATTATAACTTGCTAGGCAGATATCCCACTAGGAAGCAGTTGTGCATAACAGTTATGCATAACTAGAAAGAACATGAGGATTTTTTTTTCCTTTGTAGGAAAAGAATCCCCATTTGTGAAAATCCAAGGGTATAATGTGTGTCCAGTGCTTACCATATTTGCTGGTGTTCACTAGATGATAGTTACTATTATTATAATTGAAAGAGCCAGAGGAACTAAGAAACTGGCTGAAGGTCACTTAATTGTGAGTAGTAAAGCTAAGATGTGAACCGACCCAAACCCTGGTAGTATATTTGCTCTGGAGTATTGCCAAGACTGTTTGAATAAATTTCAGCAGATCCCTGCCCATCCCTCCACTCCCACCCCCACAAAAGAGGAGTTCTTTATAGATGCCCTTCTCTCCTCTGTTACCTTCCAGTCATGTGCTGACTCTCACACTGGAGTTGCCTGTACCACTCAGTGCCAGTGTTCTGACAGAAATGAGGCAAGCCAGTGCTGTCAGTGCCGCTCCTCTCCCCACCGCATCCCCCTTTTCCTTTGTTGATAGAGCCATCAAGCTTTCATTATGCAGTTAGTGCTAAAACAATTTGAGTTTAATGATTCCTAAAGATATTGTTGCAATCAAATATATAAACTAAGAAAACCCCAGTAATTTTTTTTTAATTAGGGGAAACTATCTGGCTCTAAGTTATTGAATGGATTATAGAGCAACTCTAAGGAACCCTGATGACATAGTGTCTAGCACTGAGCTGCTAAACGAGGTCAGCAGTTCGAACCCACTAGCCCCTTGCAGAGAACCATGTGGTCGTCTCCTCCCATAAAGATGGTACAGTATTGGAAACCCAAAGGGGCAGTTCTACTCTGTCCTATTGGGCCACTATGAGTTTCGGAATTGTCTTGATGGCAGTAAGTATAGTTTTGAGTTTGGAACTCATAATTATTGCTTTACTTTCCGTGTCTAATGAATTACTATTGATACTCTTTCCTTTAACCACTGCATGATGGTTACATGCTGGGCTGAGATCCTCAAGGTCAGCAATCTGAAACCACCAGCCACTCTGAGTAAGAAAGACAGGACTTTCTACTCCCATAAAGAGTTAGTTTGGAAACTCACAGGGGCAGTTCTACCCTGTCCTTTAGGGTCCTTATGAGGCAGCATGAGCTGTATGACACTGAGTTTTGTTTTGTTCTTGGTTTGGTGACATTGTAAAGATCGTAGAGAAAGGAAGTGGTGTTTGCTCTACTGGCCCCCAAATAGACTCTTTCGTCCAGAGACCTTTTTAAAACAGGGTCATAGAATTGATATGATCCAGTCAGGTGATAAGAGAAGGAGATAGGAGAGCTGACTGTAGCTCCTAAAACTGGGTTATCTCTAATCTGAAACAGTGATTTTGATTTCACAAACATTTCTTTGTTTTCTTTAACTAGGGTGAGACTTCTTTTGAGTATAAAACAATGTAACTTTCTACTTTGTATTATAATGAAGTACTGGTATACTGAGTACTAATTAATGAAGTTCCTAGGAGCCCTAGGGGGTACAATGTTTAAACTAACTCTCACTCCCTAAGAGAAAGATCTAAGACTCCTTCCTTAGAAGTACTATGGGCAGTTCTATGTTGGCCTGTGAGTTGGGGTTGACTTGACAGCAATGGTATCTTGCTTTTGTTGTTATAAAGAAGTTCCTTAGAGGGAGAGATTAGTCTCAATTGGGAGGTGGAGGTGGGGAAGCATATTTTAAAATATAGTCTATTAAGGACATTAATATAAATGACTATTCCTTCTTGATAGAGTATGATTATCATAATTCTCTTTCTATAAGTTGTGAGGATTATGGCTTCTTCAAACTTTTGCTGTGCAGGAAGGATTGTTTGTATTACATAGGACTGGGAAGGACAAGGATGTGAAAGAGGATAGTAGTAGTCCTTCTTGGGAACAGAATACACAGAATGAATATTTTTGTATGTGCGTTTTAAAGAATTTTAGTAAGGAGATTTTTAATTCTTTAATATGTATGATAGGTGGATTTTCAATTATTATTTTTCTTGGTCTGTGTTGGGATATGGGGAAAAGAGAACCAATTTATTGAGTGCTGCCCTGGTTTCTTGTACTGACTTGGAAATTTGGATACATTATTTTATTGAATTTTCACAATTTTATTTGTTTTGTAGATGAGTAAATGGAAGACTTCACAATACTAAGTAACTTTCCCAAGTTATAGCCTAAAAGTGATGGAACCAGGACTAAAATGAAAGTTCATCTTCTTCATCATTATCACTAAAGTAGTTATTTAACCCCTACCACATACTAGGCACTGGGTTAATTATATGTTTATGCATTATTTGATTTAATTTTTATGCACACTCTAGCATGGTCAGCAGTTCAAAACTGCCAGCAGCTTTGAGGAAGAAAGACTGGGCTTTGTACCCCATAAACAGTCTTGGAAACCCATAGGGTGTCGCTATGAGTCAGCATTGAGGGTGTTGCTAAGTTTGTGAGATGTTGTGTTAAACCAGGTAGACTAGAAAAACATTCAGTGGCACTCATATATATGTGTAAGAGAGAGCTTTATGCTAAGAAGTAATTATATATTAAGCAAACATCCCAGTCCAGATCAAGTTCATAAGTCGGACAGATACTAGTCCATAAATCTCCCTTTAGACTCACACAACATATGCAATGATGCAAAATGTGGGAAGATCACAGGCCAGTGGGTGTAAAGTCTGGTAGATCCAGAAGCATCTCCAGGGTTCTTGCAGATCTCAGCGTGGCACCACAGGGCTCGGCCACAGGAAGGTGAAAGCAGAGAGAGAGTGTGTGTGCCCGTCTCCAGGGATAGAGAGGAAGAGGCCAGCCTCAGAGGGCCATTTGTCTTGGTTGCCCTCCAGTCAAGCTGTGCGACCTGATTGACAGGCTAACATCCAGCCACATGTCCCTATGTTAGCCACGTTAGCACAAAACCCCTAACTATCACAGCTGTTATGAGGGCAAGTCACAAAGCATTGCTACAAAGTCATAGGAACTTGTATTAAGCAAAAATATCAAAATTAAATGTGAAGCTATTGTTTCTTGACATATTCTCTATCTATGCCTAGATACTTCTGAAGGTGGCATTTCTGATAGGTTTCTCAAGTGGATAACACTTCGTTCTTGGCTTTGCTTGAGAAAGAATTCACACTGAAGCCTGGTTTGTCATCCAAGTGGGTCCTTTTATAAAGGACGGGAGAAGTTTTAGGTTTTTCAGTCCCAAAGGGTACACGCTATTTCAGGGAAGCATGCTAAACCACGCGGAAGCCATGCTGGGGCCCATAACTGAACGTGGGCAACCTTGTGAGACTGCGTGCCCACACGTGGTGACCTGAGGCCAGAGAGCAAGGGACATGGGCCTGAGCACAGAAGCAGGATAAAGAAGAGGCTGCCTTCCCGCTGCCAGGGTATTTTAAACGTCCCGCTGGGTAGGCAGGTGGAAGGGCCACCCAGGTGTAATGCCCTTCTGGCTTGGGGCCTGACTTTGAGCTTGCCCAGTTAAAATCTTTATGGGTCGCCTAATGTTCTTCCCAGCTTCCTGTAGGGGGCCTGGGCAGCCCTGGGCAGGACAACCCCCCTTTCCCTGTCTGGCTACCTAACATGTCCATCTCTCTAACCTTTCCCCAAATGGTTCTGCCTCTTCAAAAATTGTGTTCCTTTGAACGATTTTTTGACGTCTGGGAACAAAAAGAAGTCTGCTGAGGCTGTTGGGAATGGGATATGATTTCCAAATGAAATTCTCATAGGATAGCCCTACTTCTCCTCAAAGAATGCATTGTCATGATGGAAAAAATTCCTCAGCGTAACCTTCCTGGGCTTTTTCTTACCAATGCAAGTTTCAATTTTCCTAAAACTTTCACTACAAGTATAGATAAATTTTAATAAAAGAATAACATCTTTTATTCTTTTGAAAAATCTATCAAGATAACTCCTTGTGAATTCTGAAAAGCAGTCCCCATAACCCTCTGACTTGGCCTCCCTTCCT